TCACATATATTTTCGGGTTGACTTCGGGTCGGGTCAGTTCAAGCTTTAACCCGACCCATCGGAACACTACTTATAGCTAACTAAATGCTAAATTGTCACCCTATGTGATATCGGGTAAATGGACTGTCAGGTAAGTAGTTTTCGGGGAATTGAGCGACAACGACATGATTTCATAGTGGATCCAAGAGAATACTGTTGATGTTTACGTGCAAGGGAAGAGAGAAATGGCATTACGAAGTCTTTATATAGAGGCTTCTCATATCTTAACTTAGTTATTTTAATGAAAGTATATATATTTTAATATCATTATTGTTTAGTTAAAAAAAAAAAATGGCTTCGAAATATTTGAATGATTTTAATACTTATTCAAAACATGGTGAGATTATTAAAGTTTTTGAACACGCAAAAAATCTTCCAAAACTTGAAGTAGTCGAATCGAAACATAACATATATGTTATTGTAACAGGGCACAAAATTTAGACGTTTCGTAACTTCGGTAAATGAAATTTTAGAAACTCCGGCCGCTTTAAAACTACGCTGGAAATTATCTTAATTAAACGGAACCTCCGGCATTTTACAATAAAATTTTGTGCCCTGTATTGTAATAATTAAGTACTTAAGATAAATAAAAAATCCTCTGTTATTACTGTAAATATATAATTAATGTGAGAGACCAACCTGAGGTTGGTCTAACGTAAGTAAATTAGTATTTTTTATGATTATTAATCACTGGCGGGCTTTAAATACTAATTGACCTCGCTTTGGACCAGTCTCATCACAATTAATAATCTTAAAAAAAAATTACTTGCATATTAATTTTTGCACCGTTAATTCTCGGATCTAGTTTTTAAACAGCAATACGTAACTGATTTTGATTGAGAGGGTTTAGTTACACCGTTTAAGCTTACTTCCTTTACTTTATTATACGTATAGACAGTCCTGTGACGCAAACCAAATAATTGTACTACAAATGTAGTATATATTCACGTATTCTTGAATGATAATTATAAATCTTTTATGGCTAATACCCAGAAGAGTGGCTTAAAAATGCTATTTCCGAGGAACATATTAATTATATTGATATAATGTGTTTACTGATAGTGGAAAAATTGACATTGGAGGTTTCGGAACAATTTCTAAATGTGAATGGGAGGATTGCAAATTAACAGTTGCTCTTAAACGTCTTAATAAAGTCGATAAAAGCGATAAGGAAATTATTAAAGAGGTAACTTTTAATAAATTAATTTATTCAATTATCAAACGGTGCACTAAATTCTTATTGTTTATTTGTAAAAGCTTAAACAATCACGAATAGTTAGTAGTCATCCAAATATTACTTCCTTCTATGGGTCACGAAAGGTGCTCAATAGTTTGTAATTTTTATGTATGAAATAATAAACATTTAAATTAAGTTATAATTTTTATTACAATTAAAACAGACCGTGAAATATGCTAACGATGAAAATTTACGGGAATATCTTAACAAGAATTTTATAAGATTACAATGGAAAAATAAAATAGATATTCAAAAGGAATAGTGCATGATCTTATGCATTTACATAAGAATAATATTATTCACAAAGACTTTGCAAGTATACAGTATTATGTTACATGATAACATATATAATTAAATATAATAATAACAATTTAATTTTATTGTTCGTTAGCACTCGAAAAATATATTAATTCATTAAGGTCAACCAAAAATTACAGATTTTGGGTTGTCCAGACAGATAAATAAACCAAAGACTTTAATTTCAAAGTTTTATGGAATGTCGGCATATATAGAACCTAAATGGTTTGAAAATTCAAGTCATAAACGCGATAAAAAGTCGTATGTTTATAGTTTTGGTGTAATCCTTTGGGAAATATCAAGTGGAAAACCACCATTTCAGTCCTTTGACGAGTTGTTGATTTCGGTTATAATCTACCAGGGAATGAGAGAAAAACCAATTGAAGACACATCACCTCAGTATGTAGAACTCTACAAGCAATGTTGGGACGCGGAACTTGCTAATCGTCCAGAAACAAAATTAATATTCGAAATTTTAAATCAGCTTAGTTCTGACGAATTTTTAAACTCTGGAAGTAATAATGAAGATCTGAAAAATGTTTCTAATTCAAACCTCTCATGTCAATACATTAATTCCGAAAAGATTAATGAATTGGCGAGCACTCTCGTAAGAATACCACATTGACTTCTTTGAATCTTAGTTGGAATATACTTGGCAATAAAGGAGGAAAAATGTTAGCTGATGTATTTTGCGAAAACACCATAACATCCTTAAATCTTAAAAATAACCGACTTGGTTTTGCGGGAATAAAAGTACTAGCAGAGGCTCTTTGCAAAAATACTACATTAACTTCTTTAAGTCTTGGAGAAAATAAACTTGACTCTGAAGGAGGAAAAGTACTAGCAGAGGCTCTTTGTAAAAACATTTTTCTGACTTTTTTGAATCTTGGAAAATATAATCTTGGCTCTGTGATAGAAGGAAAGCATTAGCTAATGCACTTTCCAAAAATACTAAATTGACTTCTCTAGATCTTAGATAAATGAAATTGGTTCTTAGGGAGGAAAAGCATTAGCTGAGGCTCTTTTCAACAATGCTACTCTGATTTCTATAAATCTTGAAATAATCGTCCTGGTTTTGAAAAAAAAAAGCATTTGCAGAGGTTCTTCGCAAAAACACCACCTTGACTTCTTTTGAATCTTAGAGATAATAAACTTGGCTCTGTGGGAGGATCAGCACTAACAATGGCTCTTTTCAATAATTCTACCTTGATTTCTTTAAATCTTGAAAATAATAAACTTGGCATTGAAGACTGGCAAAGATTCTTTTTAAGAATACGACTTTAGCATCTTTGAATATTAGATGGAATGAACTTGGTTTTGAAGGTGGAAAAGAACTAGCAGAGGCATTTATCAAGAACACTACACCGACTTTTTAGATCTTGAAAATAATTCTTTTGATTTGGAAACAAAAAAAAAAATATTAAAAAATGCCTTAAAAAATCGCAACTTTGACTCGGTTACATAATACTAAAATTTGTTTAAAATAATGTATACTGCGTATTCAAATATAGGGTGTTCTCAAGCACCTCTCAATGAACCCGGCAAAGAATCTGATTGGCCTGTCCGATCAAACTAGCCAATCAAACTAGCCAATCAGATCCTTTATCACATTCATTTAGAGAGGTGTTTGAGAACACCCATAATGTATAATTATTAATGAAATTGTATTTATAATATTATAATATTGTTGAGATTATACTTGTATTAATCTGTTATTGAATAACAAAGTAAGCCTAAATTTATTTAAATTTTATATTTAATTCGTGATCCATATACCAATCAGTGGAAAGCTATAATAAAAGCGAGGAGAATTTATTATAATCTTTTAAAAAATAGAAATCTGGCACTGTCAGTGATCTAGACAAAATTTTCACCAAGAAACTTTCTTGCATTTTTATGTAAAGTTGAAGAAACAGTTTTTGTCATCGTAATGGTACCAAAATCGGTAAAAATCGGCTTGGTAGTTGTCTTGGAACGTGTGAAAATGTCTTTGCGATCATATGAAATTCCTTTAAAGATCTTCAAAAAAATTTATATAATCGCGAAGACGTTTTTAGACAACCACCAAGTCGATTTTAATAAGTTTTGTCCATTATGACAACAAAAACCGGCTATTTAACTTTAGTTAGAAGCACAAGAGAGATTTGTTTAGTAAAATTTTGGTCTAGACCACTGACAATGTCAGATTCCTGTTTTTTATAATTGTATAATAAATTTACTCCGTCTTTTATTATAGCTTTCCACTGATTGGTATATGGATCACGAATTAATAAATAAAAATTTTCAACTTTGTTTAGAGTTTTTCTGGCTCACCATATTTTTCCAACTCTCGCATTAAGCGAATCGATTTATGATAAGTAATAATTGCATATCTTGCATTCACGATCGACTTATTTAGATTTTATATTTAATGAAATCTTTCAGTTTGACGTAGCAAAAGAAAAAAATCATTAGGATGATTCAGAATTAACTATTTCGAAAACTAATAGGAATTCAAAAAAATTTCATTCTACTTTGAAAATTCCAAAACCAAAACACAAAATAGGAATTTTTTTATGATATACTAACGTTAATATAAGCTTAAATATCAGAAACAATAGGTTAAAAAGTGAGTCACACGATGCTTAAATTTTTGAGATTAAATAATAACATATTATTTGATTGATATGAAATAATAATTTATATTATTTGATTATGTAGATAATAAAATTAAAAATAGTAATGTATAAAATTGTTAAAATATAATGGGTGATTTCAGTTGACTTATTTGATTAGTCAATAGTCACGTTTAAACCAATATAAATTAGCCAATCAAAGAATTTGACAACAACAACCACCATTACATACATCACACGTAGTGGTAATTCCCTTATAACCACCATATTTGTAGTATGTTCCGGTACCATTACATCGAGAACACTTAAAAGTTGTGCATAATGGTTATTATTAATAACAACTTACTATTGGTAGAGAAATAATAATAAGATAGTTTACCTGATGCATTTTTTATTGTATTATTTTAAAGAAGTTAATAAAGTTAATGTTGAAACAAATTTGAAGAAAACCGATATATATATATATATATATATATATAATATTAAACACATACGCAGGCTGCGTAGTATCATACGATATATAGAAAGATATTTATAAGTCATTGGTCATACGATTAAAAATTTCCTGTTATTTTTCGTATGATCCAATATAGTTGTTTATATTATATTAGTATGTGATGGTTTATGCAGTGATATTTTGCATGAATGGTTATATAAAAAATATTAGGGCTAGTGATGGGACCCAAACCCGATGGTTTCGGCACGTGCCCAAATCCCAAATAGCCGAAACTAGTTTGGGATTTGCCGTAACACAATCCCAAAATAGTTACGATATTTACATAGTTTTTTACTGTATACTACGCTAAATTATATTATTTCTTTAAAGCTTTTAAAGCTTCTTTTACAATGTTATCTACACAAAAATGTAAATTTCCACGACATATTACTAACATAATCAGAAACTTCTCACAACGTAATGCAAGATGGCTTTCCATTACTTTTTGTTTGCCTCTTAACCATCTCTGCTCAGAAGATACGCAAGTTGCACTATAATGTCCATATTTATCAGCAGTTAAACCCTTCGTAAAATACTCTCCTATACCGCAGCTTTAGAACGTCCACTTTTCTTTCTCTATAATACATGTTGATTATCCGTAGTTACAAGAAATATTTTAAATTTTGAAAAATTCTTTATTATTTAAAAAAAAAAGATATTAATTTATTTATTATTAAGAATAAGTAGTCAAAATACATCATTATAAAAAGTATCATTATATTTATTACAGTAAAAACGTCATTATATTTATTTTGAATCAGCGATCATATCATAGTAAAAATTTTTATCATTGGGATTTGGGTTCATGTTTTTGGAATATGAAGTATGTTTGGGATTTGGGATTATATTTGGGATTTGGGATTATATTTGGGATTTGGGATTGTATTTGGGATTGTATTTGGGATTTGGGATTACATTTGGGTTTCGGCAAAAGCCCAAATTCCAACTGAAAACTGCCATAAGTCCCAATCAGTGCTGAAAGTATTTGGGTTCCATCACTAATTAAGGCAAACATATTAATAATAAACAACTGTCTTACGACCATAAGATGTGATATGGCTATCAGTAGGGTGTTAAAAGTTCAGTTCAGTTCGACTCAACTCCATGAGTCAAGTCTTAATTTAGACTCGGTTTCAAGTCAGACTTGGAACCAAGTTCTATTGGTTACATGCAATATTAGATATAAAGATAATGATAACAGATAACAGATAACTTTATTTAAAAAAAAGAAATTAACTAATTTTCATCTTAGGTGATAATCATCTATGATTATTATTATAATTTTGTGTAATGTAGTTATACAAAATAAACAAAGACTCTGCAATACTAGCAATTCGTCTAGTATAATGTATTTTAAGAGAACCTAAGCTATTCTGAATAAATGGATCTGTAATAAGCTAGCTAACTTAAGTAGTTAGATGTTATGGTGACATTAGGTTAGATCTGTATGGGTTAATGAACATAGTATTTAAATAGATAACTTACAGGTAGGTTACAGATATGATAACATAGTGTAGAACCAATTAGATAGTCTAATATTTATATAGCAAACTACTTAAAATACAGTAGACAATAACTAAAGTTGTATATATGATTTGTTGTATACTCTTTATATAATTACAAACAGTAGGAATTATTAATATATAATCCTGTTTGCAACTCTAATAAAATTCTTTCAGTAATGTAAGCTACTTTTAACAATAAAAAAATAAAAATAAAATAAAATAAATAAAGAAAAATATTTTTTTTTTGACTTTAAGGTTAGAGTTCTTGTATTAGAGTTAGGGTTTAGTAAGATTTATAGTAAAATTTTATAAGAAATTTTTTTACTTAGAGTTTCAAAAGTAGTTTTATAAGTAAAATTTGAAATATTTTTATTACAAATGATGATTACTTGTAGTATATATTAGCAAACTCTAAAAAAAATATATTAATATTATTTTTATAATAATATTTTTGTCTATTCTAAAATTTTTACTTTTAATTAATTTTTTAAATACAAAGAAACTCTAGTTATTTGTTTAAGAAAACAGTTTCATATAAGATTAATTGTATAATTCACAATTTGAAGTATTACAAAGAAGTTATAATTAGAAAATAAGAAGAATATTGCTTTTATTATGAAGTGAATTTATATTTAGCTCTAATAATAATACTAGACAAGTATTTATTTTATTTGTTAAATCTTTTAAATTTTTATCTTTTTTAATTTATTTTTATTTGTTTAAATTAATTTATAAAAACTATCTAATAAATATTTTTGTTTAGATAATATAATTACTTTATTAATATTATACATTAAATATAAAATTCTTAACTAGTTTATAGCTATTTAGTATTTTATTTTATTAAATATTTTAGTCTAGTAAATAGATCAAGAAGTATAAAAATTATAAAAGATTATAAAAAATAAGACTAGTAATTTTTTAATTTTTTATCTTTATTTTTTTTGTTATTTATTTTTTTATTTTATTTTATTTTTATTATTAAAACTATTTTTTTGTTAATTAGATTTTATGAATCTATATCATTTTATTAACAATTATTTTATTGATAGCTTATTTAGCTAACATTATACCAAGTAATAATTTACTAAAAATATATATCTAAAACTAATAAAGCTCTAACTCTAATCTTATATAATATTAGTTAAATAAACTTTTAGTAAAATAATTATTAGTGAAGTTTATAGTATCAGATTATATTAATTTGTTATTACAAAGTTATGTATATAGTAATTTTTTAGAGTTTATAATTACTATATATTATAAGTATATAACAAGTTATATATACAATTATGATCTGGCAATCTTAGTATAGTGGTTAGGTTACCAGACCACTATGCAAAAGGTCTGGGGTTCAAATCTCACTATTGATGAATTTGAATAATCATTTAGATCTTTGTACTCAACTTATAGTAAACTCTGTTCATTTCTAGGGTTGTAACCCTGTAAATTAAGTTGTACCAAGTTACTCGAATATTGGAAGTGTAGTATAATATTATACTGTTATAAAATGAGTTTCATCTATTTTGTTATATTATTATTTTATTTTATTATTTATTATTAGTATTTTATATAGTTAAATTCTTAAATGTATTTTATATCGATTTCTCAATAAACTAAATAGTTAAAATTAGTTTTAAGTTAGACTATTAGATTCAGCTCGATGAGATCTTTCTAACAAGCTATAAATTATATAAAACAAATACATAGTTATTGAGTTATCTTAGAAGCAACGTTGGGACAAATTACCTTTTCTACCTTTTCTACTTTTTCTACCTTTTCTAAAAAGATATATAAACCCTCCCTTTTCTCTTTGCCTTAACTTAGGTTTGATCTCTGCAATCTCCTTAATATTAGAATTCTCTTAGCACAGAAACTAATAGATAGTCTTGTATTATCGATATTGTATTCTAAATAAAGTATAATCTTTGCTCTTTCATTAACTTTGTAACAAACTGCTACAGTGAAGTAATATTCCACTTGGATACCATTGAGAGCTCCTCTTTCGTGTTTTATATTACTTGTGTTAAATAAAAAAGGCCGAGACTTGTAACATTTTGGTACCTTCTAGCAGAAAAACAAAGAAACACTCTTAGAAGGATAATTAATTAAAGAAACTTTAAAAAAGCTCTAAAAAAATCTTTCTTAAAGTTAAAGAAACCTTTCTTTTCTCCTCTGACGATCTCTAAAGAAGCCTCTCTTAGAAACCAAGAAGCCTCTCTTTTCTCCTATAATGATTCCGATCTATATCACACCCAGTCTATATTATACAAACACTGAAAAAGAGATCTATGACTTCTAGAATAGATTTATATCACACCATAATACAAAAAGAGGAAAATCACTCTAAATTGCCTCAGACCTAGGAAGACCTATTTCATATTATATAGACTTTTCAAAGTTGAATTTAGGCCCAGACTATACCTATTTATATCTACTTTAAAGCTAGCAGCTTACTGTGACTCTCAGGTTAGGAATACCTAAAGGACAAGTACCCCACGAGCCAAATTTATAGGCGTAAGGACTCTAATCAGCTAGCAGCTTACTGCAACTCCAGGTTAGAAACACCTAAAGGATGAGTACTCTACGAGCCAAACTTGTAGGTGTAAGGACTTTAATTAAAGCTAGCAGCTTACTGCGACTCCTAGGAATAAAAATACCTGAAGGACGAGTACCCTACGAGCCAAAACATAGGTGTAAGGACTCTAATAGCTAGCAGCTTACTGTGAACCTTAATATAGAAAAGTTAAGCACGGATTACCTACGAGCCAAACATGTAGGCATAAGTAATCTCAAACTCTAATCCATAATCTTAGATACCTTACGACCTAAAGTATAGGAGTAAGGTATCTTACCACCCAACATATATGAACAGAGCATATCAGATATATATAGAAAGAATACAAGTACACGATTTACAATATCAGAATACCAGTCAAACATATACAGTACTTCAAACTCTAGACCTAGATTTATCCTGTCAGCTATGCTATCCAGGAACAAACCTTCACTGATCATATCATAACTTTTGAAATTGGTATAAACGAACCTATTACGCCCGATTCTATTCTCAACAAACTGCAACTGCATATTTAGAATTAACTAATAGCTCAACCTATCCTCGAGTCAGAGCAGCAGCACGTGATATAATATTTAGTTGCTGATATAATACTCTATAGAAAACCCTAAAAACATTGTTGAAACCCTTCTAGTTAAATATACTCGATACACTCTACAATCCTATCTCCCTTTTGGCTTTAAAGCTACAGCTTTCAACACCTATATTGAATTCCTAGCTAGTGCCCCTACTCTCAACTCTTATTTAAATAGAACCCCAGAAGAAGCCTTAGGAAATCTTGGTTCTCCTATCCCTAACGAATATACTAGTAGCTTTGATCATTTTGAATATAGTTCTATAGTTAGTCAATACTCTATAGACCCAGATCAAGTTACAACTTCTTCATCTGCTTTAACTCTTTATAACGAAGATACTACTCAAATCCAATTTCCTCTACGAGATAGACTACAAACTCCTACTACATCCCTAACTGATATCTCTCTTGAACTATCTATCTATACACCTCCTTCTCAATTCCTCTCTACTCCTTCTACTAATACCTCTAACTAACAATATTTTAATTTTAATATTAATCCTCGAATAGCAATAACTAACTTTATTCATCAGTTTACCCCTACTACTACCTCATCTAATAGGAACCTTCTAATCTCTGGAAATTATTCTCAAGCTAACTTAGATCTCGATAACACTTCTCCCTCACACTATACCCTACTCAACTCTCTACTTCCTTATCAACCAACTCAACTTCCAAACCAAGCTAATCAACTCTTCGATAACATAATCCAAGTCTTAGACAACTTTGAAATCGATCACTATTCTCTAAATAATCAGGAAAATCAAGAAGACTATAATCTTGATAATTTCTTTAACGTTGATAATAATAGCCAAGAAGCAGAAAATCAACAAGAAGATTCAGATCACGAAACTATCCAAACAGATGAATCAGAAGAAGATATAGCTGAACAAGCTTTACAAGATGCTGCTACAGCTATGATTGCGTTAG